TGACTTGCGGTTTGTACTACAGGGAGCCGCAGCTGCCGAACAACGACCACGCTGTTTCTTGGGGGTCCGATGTCGGGGGCGTGCAGCAGCAGCAGCAGCAGCAGCAGCAGCAGCAGCAGCAGCAGCAACCGATGGTGCCGCCACCGCCACCGGGCCCCCCGCCTCCGCTGGCGGCAGCGGCGGCTCCGGAGGGGACGACGACGAATGGGACGTCCTCGGAAAGCTCGTTGGAGCAGCAGCCGGGGCAGCAGCAGCAGCAGCAGCAGCAGCAGCAGCAGCAGCAGCCTCCGCCGCCGCCACCGCCGCCGGCGGCGGCGGAAGATAGCAACGACTCCGCGAAAAAGGAGGAGGAGGAGGAGGAGCAGGAGGAGGGGGAGGTAGAGGATGAGCAGCCGCCGCCCCCGCCGCCGCCCAAGACCGAAGGGAAGATCATGGAGCTGTGGAGCTTGCTCAACATGGCGCAGGCGTCGGGCGCTGCCGCTACCGCGGCGGCTTCCGCGAGCGCCGGGGCGACGACCACCGGAGCCTCTTCCCCGGCGGGGGGCGAGGACTCCTCGATGGCCGTCGACGACGACAACGACGCGGGGGGCGACGACGCAGGCCAGCAGCAGCAGCAGCAGCCGCCGCCGCCACCGCCTCCCCTACCGCAGGGCTCTTCCCTGGACCACAGCGGGATGATGCCTTCAGGCGGCGGGGGCGGGGTTTTCAACAACCCCCCTCCCCCGCCCTTTCCGGGCAGGAGCGGCTCGGACCTCGGCCAACCGCCGCCGCCCCCGCCGCCCCCGCCCGGGGACGACTCCGGGCCGCCGCAGCGGTACGACCCGTTCGCCGCCGCTGCTCCGGGTACCGGGGGCGGCATGCAGGGCCAGCAGCAACGCCAGCAGATGATGATGGGGCCGCGGGGTCACGGGATGATGCACAACCACCATGGCGGCGACCAAGGCTTGCCGCCCGGCGGCGGCGGGGGGGCAATGAGGGCCGGCGGCGGTGGGAGGGGCATGGGAGGAGGCGGCGGCGGGATGGGGCCCCGCGGAATGCCGCCCGGCGGGATGAGGCCCGGGATGGGCATGGGCGGGGAAGGAGGAGGGATGGGGGGAGGCCTGCCTCCTCCTCCTCAAGCGGGAGGCATGTTCTTTACGGGTGAGTGCGACCACGGTGTGTGTGCCTCAGCAGCATGAGGAATTGTTTTTCGTTTGCAGGTTCAAGCGTAGTGTTTTGTGTTTAGCATGTGTCGGCGATGCCCTTTTGTCGTCGGTCCTCGAGATGCCGGAGCTAGTGAATATGTGCCTGCTGGTGTTGGAGGCAGCAAACATAGTAGAAAGTGAGTCGTTTTGGACGGATAGAAGGGACTCTGTTGTAAGTCGCTGTTTCTGTCGGGGCGAGCAGCAGCTTTGCTGAACAGCAGGTTCCTGGAGCCCTCTCCCCCCCCCAAAACCCTCCCCCGTCCCTGCAGCCACGTACGTCTGATGCCCCGCCCCCCTCGTTGTTTTGGAACCGAATCCCTCCCCGTTCCTGCCACCACGTATGTACGTCTGATGCCACCCCCTCCCAACGGCTCGCAACTATTTATCACAGGCGGGCCCAACGGCCCTCGAGCGAGACCGAGAGGCCCTCCTCCGGGGGGCATGGGTCCTGGTAACGGTCCTGGTAACGGTCCCGGGAACGGCTGGGGATCGCCCCCGCCCCCGCAGCCTAACGGTCAACCCAGGAACAACGACGCGCCGCCACCGCCGTGGGGAAGCCCGGGTGGAAGGGGGGGCGGAGGAGGGGGCAGGGGAGCGGGGGCGGCGTCCCCGGGCGGTAGGCCGGGGGGGGACTCGCAGCAGGCGGCGGCGGCGGGAAGAGGGGGGGGCGGGGCGGGGGGCGAGAATGCCGACAAGAACGGGAACGCGCGTTCTCCGGCCCCTTCCGGCCGACCGTCTCGGTGGGGCCCGCCAGGGGGTGCTAGCGGCGGCGGCGGCGGCGGCGGCGGGCGCGGTGAGTAGCTTGTTTGCTTTGATGACTTGGATTTTGGAATAATCGACACCCCGGGATGGGCGCGCTTTCGGGGGGAGGTACGGTGCACATCCCAGCCCTTCGGGCCCCCCACAACTTCAATAAACCTCGCCAGTGTTTTCCTCGGTTTGTGCGACGAGAGTGATTCGGATAGGAGTACCGTTGCCCGCAACGTGCGAACCCTTGCTGAGCTTTGGCCGCTTATTTTTCCTTCAAGTACCGCTCACAAAGCACACACAAGCACACGCGTCGAGTCTATCAGCGTGGTGGGTTAAAACCCTACCCGAAACTCACACGTTGTTGGCACGTACTGCTCTGCAACAGGCCCTAACGATAGCCTCGCTGGCGGCGGCGGATCTGAAAACTTTTCGGGACCGAGAACTCCGGGTGGTCCGCACGGTCCACGTCCACCAATGGGCATGGGAAGCCCGGGGGGTCGAGGGGGAGCGATGCAGCAGCAGCAACAGCACTGGCAAGGGCAAGGGCGGGGTCATCCACGGGGTGCCGCAGGCGGCCCCCCGCCGCCGCCGCCGCCTTCCGCGCGAGGGCCCCCTCCGCCGCCGCCGCCGGGCCAGCAACAGCCGCACGGCTCGCCGCCGCCTCCCCCGCGAGGCCCGCCCGGTGGAATGATGCTGGGACCGGGGGGACAGCAAGAAGGGATGGCCAGGCCTCCTCCTCCTCCTCCTGGAGAGGGGTCTCCGCGAGGGGGGAGTCCGATGCCGCCGGCGGGACCGCCACACGGTCTTCCGGGGCAGGATCGGT